TGGAGGTGCCCAGATGAGGCCCAGCTGTGAAGCAATGCAAGCTGCTGTGGGGCCTTGGGCCTTCTCTTGGAATTTCTGGGTCTGTCTGGCCCAGCTGCAATTTGTTAGGTAATTTTCAGGTTTCAAAGGGCCAGGGCATTCATATGCAAAAGCCTCTGCCACAGCCTGGTTGGGGCGGGGTCTCAGGGAATCAAAGGGTGGAGCAAGCATCTGTGGCGGATCCTCAGCCCTGCCCTAAAGGGCCCCGATTCTCAGTGTCTCAGTAATTGCTGCAAGCACCTCTGAGGGAAAGCTGCCCTCAAGTTCAGAGTTCTGCCTGCTGCCAGACAGTCCAGTTTCTCCCCGTATGAGTCCTGGGTCCCCAGAGACTTCCCAGAACCGGAGTTCAGAGCAGTCGAGAGCCTGTGACTCCCTCCCAATTCAAAAAGACAGCTGTGTCCTCAGGTGCCAGCCCTTTTCCGCGTGCGCTTGAGCCTCTGTACCTCTGCACTTCACTTCCGCAGCTCCTCTGAGTCTCCGTGTGCTTTTCTTTTCCCTTCTAGTTGTAGAATTTCCACTCAGCCAGCCTTCCTGTAGTTCTGGATGATGTCCATTTTGTCTTTTTGTTGTATTTTTGAAGTTGTTGTGGGAGGCAGCAATTTCCGGTGTTTACCTATGCTGCCATCTTGGTTTCTCCTCTCTCTAGAGTTTTATGTACATATCATTTATACATATGCATTCTTTTTCATCTGACTTCTTTTCACTCAACAAACTATTTATAGATTCACTCCTGTCGCTGCGCGTATCCATAGTTTTTTCCTTTTTCTTGATGACTAGTATTCCATTGTGTGAATCTCCTACACTGTGTTTACTTGTTGACTGATATTTGTTTCCAGTTTGTGGGCATTACATATAAAGTTGGTTTGCACTTCCCTGTTAAAAAAACCCATGACAAAAGTAACATCTCCCTGGTGGCACTTCATCTCCTGTGGAGGGGCAGGAAAACATACTGCAAAAGTCTGCTGAGGCGGGGGGGGGGGGGGCAGGGGGAGGGCTGCAGATTCCTGCCCAGATCATAGGAAGATATAAAGTGAGGGGCTGTGGGGGTGCCACACGTCAATGGTGGCTCCCCTGGCAACAGGACCGGTTCCTATCCTTTAGCACTTACTGCCAGGAGGGCTGAGGAACTGACCTCCCCAAGGACACCCCCACCCATTTCAAAAGGGAGTTGGCTGGGAGACTCAGGTGTTTCATGCTGTCCCTGAGCTCCCCAGCGGGGCTGAGCCCAGTGGTTCCTCACAGGAGCTAGTAGCAGTCTTCTCTTCCTGCCCTCCCCACACCCCACCTGCTCCAGGGTCAACTTCAGGAGGAGAGTGGCAGCTACTGGAGGCAGAAGGGCTCCAGATGCATCTCCCCGGCCCAAGCTACATGTAGAGAACACTGCCACCTCTTATCAAACCAGTGAGCATGCTCCTGCACCCACATTAAAAATAATTCACTCACAACTGATAACTAATTGCTAACATAAGTCCCCATTCTATAGACAGCTCTGTACACACACACACACACACACACACACATATATATATGAAAATAAACCTTTAAAACACACAAAATACACATATATATACTAGAGGCTCAGTGCACAAAATTCGTGCATTGGGGGCTTGCAGGGGTGTACCTCAGCCCAACCTGTTCCCTCTCACAGTCCTGGACCCCTTGGGTAGGGTCCCTAGGCCTGGCCAGTGATCAGGGCCTATCGGGGCTTTCCTTCCCCTGGCTGCCGTGTCATAGTGTGGTCTTTTGGAAGGTTGTCCAGACGGTCATTCTGTTGTTCAATCATTCAGTCAATTTGCATATTACACTTTTATTATTATAGTTTGTGTGTGTGTGTATTTTGTGTGTTTTAAAGGTTTCTTTTCATTTTAAACTTCTCCCCCTTCAGGCACATCTATAACTCCTTCACTAGCTCCAGGCCTCTGGCTACTCACTCTGCAGGGTCTAAAGGAGGTGGAGCAGGGGTGGGCAAACTTTTTGACTCGAGGGCCACAATGGGTTCTTAAACTGGACCAGAGGGCGTGAACAAAAGCATGGATAGAGTGTTTGTGTGAACTAATATAAATTCAAGGTAAACATCATTACATAAAAGGGTATGGTCTTTTTTTTTTTTTTTAGTTTTATTTATTTCAAATGGGCCAGATCCGGCCCGCGGGCCGTAGTTTGGCAACGGCTGAGGTGGAGTGACAAATGAATTAAGATCCAATTTATGCTTCTATGTATATAAATTTAACCATTTCTTTAAACATAAATTTAATGTTAAGGTTTTCCCTTATTGTAGCCATTTCTCCTGGGAGTAAATTACATTTTAAAAATTATATTTTTCAATTATGGTTCACATTCAGTGTTATTTTAAGTATACAGCATAGTGGTTAGACAAGTACATGATTCATAAAGTATTTCCTTCGATAAGTCTGGTGCCCACCTGGCACCAAATGCTAGTTGTTATAATATTATTGACTGTGCTATGCTTAATATCCCCTTGGCTATTGTGTAACTACCAGTTTGTACTTAATCCCTTCCCCTCTTTCACCCAGCTCTCCAACGCCCATCTCCTCTGGCAACCAATAGTCTGTTCTCTGTACCTATGAGTCTGTTTCTGTTTTGTTCTTTAGATTCCACATATAAGTGAAATTATATGGTATTTGTCTTTCTCTGTCTGACATATTTCACTCAGTATAATACTCACTAGATCCATTCATGTGATTGCAAATGGTAGATTTCATTCTTTTTTATGGCTGAGTAATATTCCATTGGTAATAACTTTTTTATCCACTCATGTATTGGTGATTACTCAGGTGGCTTCCAATTCTTGGCTATTGTAAATTGTGCTGAAAATACATATGCTGCACATATATTTTTGAATTAGTGCTTTGGATCTTCAGATAGCTACCCAGAAGTAGAATTGCTGGATCAAAAGTAGTTTTATTTTTGATTTTTTGAGGAGCATTCATACTGTTGTCCGTAGTGACTGTACCAATTTGCAATCCCACCAATAGTACAATTTTCTCCTCATCCTTGCCAACACTTGTTTCTTGATTTATTGATGACAGCCATTCTGACAGATGTGAGGTGATAACTCATTGTGGTTTCAATTTGCATTTCTATTATTGATGTTGAGCATCTTTTCATTTGTCTGTTGACCATCTGTATGTCCTCTTTGGAGAAGTGTCTATTTAGGTCCTCTGTCCATCTTTTAATTGAATTGTTTATTGTTTGGTGTTGAGTTGCATGAGTTCTTTATAAATGTTGGCCATTAACTCCTTATCAGATGTATCATTAGCAAATATCTTCTCCCATTCAGTAGGTTATCTTTTTGTTTTGTTCATGAATTCCTTTCTGTACAAAAACTTGTCCCATTTGTTTATTTTTTCTTTTGTTTTCCTCGCCTGAGGAGATATATCAGAAAAAATACTACTAGAGCAATGTCAGAGTTTATTGTCTATGTTTTCTTTAGGAGTTTTATGATTTTGAGTCTTACATTTAAATCCC